TTTCATGTCCCTCTAAAAAAAAAGAAAAAAAGAAAAAAAGAGAGAAACTGCTAAGGAAATCTAGTTTACCCATACATTTTCTTCCCTCAAAATTTCCTCAACTTTCTCAAAAAAACAAATAGAAGACGCTCATAATACAAAACTCTCGTACTTGAGATCTCGCCTTAAAATAAAAGGTATCCAAAAAAAAAAAAAATTCAACCATAAGGATCTCTCAAATACTGAAAAGAAAGGGTTGGGTCAAAACAGATGTAAGCAAAATCAACACACAAACAAGACCTTCACTATACCCAAAATCAAATTCAAAAAAACAAAGAATCTAAGAGCCGGTAAAAAAAAAAAAAATGTAAACAAAAAGCAAGAAAAAAATTTAAACGCGTACCAGGGAAAACGATGTAGAAGAAAGAAAGAAAAGATGATGAACCAAAGCTTTCTTACAATCACAATGGCGGAAAAAAGAAATCTTCAGTTCTTTATTTGCAGGAAACGAAACCCAGATTGCCCAGAAAAATTTGGTACTTGTCAAAGCTCATAGCCAAGCTTAGATCTCCTGTAGAGAATGATACCAATTGGCGAATTGATCAGAAAATTGACTCAAGTTGTAGGCAATGACAAGAAGGTGAGCGAGCAGCAGCGTGGTCGACGTTGAACGGAAGTCACAATCGAGGCTTCATTGCCATCTAGATGCGAAGAAAATACAAGGTTTAAAATTGAAATGCATGAGTTCAAGAATGAATTTGAAATACGTGAATTTTAAGTATTTGAAATACCTTTAGTAAAATTCATATATTTAACTTAAATCTAATTATATTTTATTTAAGTAAAAATAAACAATAATATTCAATTTAAAATGTTTAAATTCAAATACATCTTGTAAAATTTATGTTTCCAAACATAGTAATAATGTTTTCCGCTGTTATGTATTCTACTATTTCCGATACAGGATTTCTGTGCAGTGATCCGTAATCAATGAGCTCCAAAGCAGTTCCTCCAGGGTTTTTAAGGCCGAGATGAGTTTGTAAACAAATATGAACCATTAATAAAAACTTGAGCGAATTAATATTTACCAATTTAAATAACTTTAATTATATGTTAAAGTTAAAAATTTTAAATTCTGTGATGTTAAGTGGTAAATTTTTTTTATTAAAAAAATTATAATAAATAAAAATACAAGAGAATAACATGACATAATTAGAACCAATCGAAA